TGCCACCACTGCAGACAGGGGGTGAGCTGTACTCACCCCCTTTCCAGTACTATAATTTTTATCAAATAACTGTGGAGGGAAACATCTGCACTGTCTTCCTGCTTCTGCGCTCTCTAGAATGGCCTATTCCTGAGTTAAAGATTTTTTTTTTTTTTCCTCTGAATTAAAGCTTTTTGCTGGGATGAGCACTGCTTTATTTCACTGCAAGTTCCCTAGAAGGAGGAAACTAAAACAAAGACAATAAAACAAAAGCTGGTGGGGGAGGAAGAAGGAAGGGGGATGAACAACTTCAGGAGGAAAAGCACACAGCACTGCCTCTGGCAGCCTGCAGGTGACAGACCAGACAGCAGCAGATGTCCCCACAGGCTTTGCAGAAAAGGGCGATCTTGCAATTAGTGTGGACTGCAAAAACTGCTCCTCCAGGCATCAGCAAGGGTGCTGCACAATGCTGATTATTTCTCTACCTTGACAAGCTCACCCTCTGAGCTCAGCCTCCAGAAAGTGCTGAGCACAGACCTGTGCTAACTGTCCAAGGCCCCCCTCCCGCTCTTCCACTTTCCCTCCCTCCCTGCCTCACACCTCTGAAACCATCGAAAGCCATTTGTTCTCTCACACATTGAAGTTGCTTTCCTGGGGCTTTCACAGAGCACATGTCTTGGAGGCCAGCTCTAGCACAGGGATCAATTCACTTCCGTTCAATCTGTGAGCTCTGATCAACTAGCTGCCATGAGCGCTGCACTTAAAGAGAGCTGGAAGCCAGGTCTGCTGGCCAGAGGAAAGCAGGAGCGGCGAGAACTCAGAAGACGGGGACTTAGGTGCAGACATGGCTGGGGCTCCCAATTCAGAAGCTGAGAAGAGAACAGGTGCTGGGCTCCAGAAGGGCGATCATGACACAGAAATGAAACACGGCCTGCAAAGCAACAGTGTGAAGGGCTCGCTCTTCCAGGGCAGACAGACAGACGGACGCATGCCACCTCTAGGAAGTCCACAGGCAGATGCCCACACTGCGATCTAAGGCAGCAATTAAATTCAGCGTCAGCACTCTTGAACTTTTTTGTCCGCTTATTTGTTTTCCAACAGAGTCTCGCTCGGTAGTGCAGGCTGGCCTTAAGCTCACTATGCAGCCTAGACTGACCTCTAATTTCTGATGATCCTCCAGCCTCAGCCTCCCCAAGAGCTGGATCTAGAGGTGTGCACAACCCCACCCCAGAAGCACTGTCGGGAGTTTTAAAGAAAGTTCTTCTGTAAGCTTAAAATCGTGACTGCAGTCGTACTTAATTTGGGGGCCTTACTGACATATAACTGACAAAAATTGTGCATGAGCCAGGAGTGGTGGTGGTACACACCTGTAAGCCCAGTACTTTCAGAAACTGAGTCAGGAGGATCTTAAGTTTGATTCCTACCTGGGAAATTTAGGAAGAATCTATCTTAAAATAAAAAATTAATAGGGGTGAGATGGAGCTAAGTAGTATCATCAAAATTAAAAAAAAACAACAACAAAAAAACCCACCAACGGCTGGACAGATAGCTCAGGGAACTAAAGCCCCTGCTTAGGCAGAGTCAGGGACTAGTGTTTGATCTCTGGCATGCCATGCTGGCCCACCTCCCAGGCATGCTGAGGCAGCGAATGTGATTGGGTATGGTGGCACAGGCCTGTAATCCTATCACTTGGGAGGCTGAAAACAGGAGGATCACTACGAGTCTGATCTGTGTAGTGAGACCCTATAGACTCTGTACTAAATACATTAAAAAAAAAAAATTTTTTTAAAGACATGCTAACTGAAGAATGGATAAAAATGAGGCAGTATTTTTAGATAATGGAGTATTACTCAGGCAAAAAGATAAATGAGCTCAAGGCTTTTACATATAAATGGCTGAACTAAAGACCATACTCATAAATGAAATAAATCAGAGATACGTGTGTAAACATCACGTTGTCTTCCTAGTATAAGAATCTGAAAGAATAGATAGGATCTGAAAGGTTTAATAGATTCTGTGAAAAAGGAACTGTTCAAAAGGAAGGAACAACTGAGATGAGGGAAAGGAGAAAAGAAAGAAGGAAGGTAGAAAAATAATACATGCATATATATGTGTATACACACGATAGCTTGGTAATTGTATTGCTGATTTCTACCGGCCTATTGAAAGCAATAGTTAATGCTTAATTTTTTTCTTGTTTTTAACATTTTATAACCAATTTTGCATACTTACATCTGTTAATCTGAACAACTAATTGAAGACAACTTCCACTATAACAATCATTGCTGCGTTCCTATCATTCGTTTAGTGAAATTCTGTATCATTTCCAATCTTTTTTTTTAACTTTTTTTTTTTTATTCTCTTTTAAAAAATGAGCAATAGAACAAGATAAAAAGAATGATAAAGACTATGTCAGGGGCACACCTGGACGTTTTGGTGTATGGTAAGCTGTTGTTTCTTCTACTGAGAACCGTTCAGATCTCACAGCAATCTCCCACTCAGAATATGGCGCTGCTGATCGTACCCATCCCAGCTCAGGCCTGCAGAACTCCCATGTCCTTCCAAACACACTTTATTCCTTCTGCCCAAGCAGCATCTCCTGGGGCCCTGGTGTGACTGCTGTGTCACCCTCTGCCTTTGTGAGCTGTACTATTTCCCCCACCTCTTTGGGAATAAAACCAAGTAAAATAAAAGGATGGCAATTAAAAGTAAAGGTGTTTTGTGATTTTTTCATTCACTCTTCTTTCCTGATGCATCAAAATTTTAGGTTGAAGGTCGATACACACCCAAAAGATCTTAGGCTGTACCTCCACATTTTCATTAAAAAACAAATCATCTGGGGCCTATTTTTAGCCCCCAGGGATGTTGGCTACCTCTTAAGGAAAATTCATTCTAGCCAGGTACACTGCTCCAATCTCAAGCAAAGCATTTAAAATAAATTTAAAATGAGATGTGGGAAAGCTTTTCCGGTCAGACGAGAACATGTGTTAGGACAAGCTCTCTGACGCAGGTCACCAGCCGGCTTTGCACTCTGTGGAAGCATCTGATACAGCTCAGCTCTAATTCCCCAAGACTCACGTGTGTAAAACATGACTGGATCATGGGGTGCTGTACTCCCTGGTGGGTGAACATGCTGTTAAAAGGCAGAGCCTGTTGGGGGACAGTCATGGGGGTCGAGCTGGAAGGGTGTGTCCTTGTCCCCAGGTCCTGCCTTCTCTCCCTGCTTCCCATTTCTGCCTTGCACTCAGCCACCCATGGACTGGAAATATGAACCAAAATCACAGAGTCTCTTTTCCTGAGAGCTGTATCAGGCTTTCATCCCTTAGATAAGAAAGTGATTAAGACTCCAGCTTGGAGTAGAAACCTACTTTGGGCTCTTGCCTGACTTATAGGCCTCCTTGCCCGCCCCCAAAGAAAACCTTACACAAAAGCCTCAACAGAGTGACTCCAGCACCCCACAACAGTCACTCAGAAGCACTCCTTGGAATGCCCAAAACCGCAATGGAATAATGCACACGGCGGCTTGAGTGGAACATGAACCTGACCCAAGACCAACCAGGGTACAGAAGATGCACTGGCACTGGGCGATGGTGGTCATCTGCTCCACTGGGTACTCCCCGAGGCACAGCTTGCAGGACACCAGGGGGTCGAGGGCCAAGTCCCAGGTGGGCCGGTACCGTGCTGTGGTCATGGCAGAGCAGTCTGAAATGAGAGACACACGCGGTCAGAGCTCCAGTCTGTGGCCTCTGGGGAAACACTTCTGGGTCACAGGGCCTGTCTGAGGGTGGGGCTCAGAAACAGACAACTCACCTAGTCCTCTGAGCTTTTTCATCCAGGGGCTACTGACGTGGGCCTATGGGTAGCCTGATAATAACTATTTCTTTAATTTTTATTTTTATAAATTCACATTTGCAGGACATATTGAACATGTTCATTAATGGAAGACAATACGTGTACCTAACACATAATTCCCTGTTTCACAAAAAATAAGACGGACAGGGGCCGGGGAGATGGCTCAGGGGAATAAGCGCTTCCCTGGCAAGCACAAGAGCCTGAGTTCAATCCCCAGTTCTGGAAAAAAAAAAAAAAAAAGACCTACAGGGAAAATGAGTGCTGGCTGTGGACAGTGGTGGTGGCCAGAGTCATGCAGACTGGACAGGATTGACATCTGCCCTCCGGGCCTCCCGGCCACAACCTGTTCAATGCACAACTAAATCCTTCCATCTGAGGACATTAAGTCTTAGCCTGGACCTGAACTACTATAATTCCAGCAGTCCAGGAGGCTGAGGCTCAAGGACTGTAAGATCTAGTCCAGCCTGGGCAATGTAGGGACTTAGGAGATGCCAGATCAAAAAGAGATTATAAAAGCCAGATATGGTAGTTCATGCCTATCACCCCAGCACTCTGGAAGGCTTAAGCAAGAGGGTTGCAAGTTCCAACACACCTTTTTCCAAAGAACTCAGCCACTGCATCAGATGATTTTTGTCTTCTCATCCCTGCTTCTGGAAGCCCTTTTGCACTGAGCTGGCTCCCCAGCTCTTTCTACCTCTTCATCTGGAAACAGGGTCTCCCTGGATCACTATGATGCTCAGTGACAACCAAAGCCCTGCCCAGCCTGCTGCCCGGACTTAAGCAAGGTGGCACAGCCCATGACAGTGCACGTAGCGCCTAGCGGAGAGTGGTTTCTCGGATGGGGCTCCCTAAACGGCCCCTGCTCCCCATCCTGGCAGGGCACCGTCTCCGGAGCAGCTGCCGCCTGCCCAGGGAAGCTCTCTGGCCTTTATCCTGTCTTGTCTGCTGGCTCCCAATGCTCTTCTTCCCAGCCTGGGACCTGGACTCTTTTCCTGTTTACAAAACCTCCGCTGTGACCCCAGGCACGGCATGGACAGCTGGCTCTGCCCAGCTTCCTCATTTTCCTCCTGACCCGCGACATCAACATTGTGGGGGCCTCTCTCTTGCTCCTATCCTGACCCATGACCTGCGCTTGAAGCAGGCTCAGGTCCCATCTGCGGGCCACTTCAGTGCTCCACTCCCTCAGAGTCCCAGTCTCAGAGCCGTGCTCCACATCACAGTCCCAGGGCTGGCCACTGCAAGACTTCCCTGTGTGTAGGAAGCCCTCCATCCTTCCCGCAAATGCTGAACAGCTGCAAACTTGCAACAGGAATTTGCTAAGAGAATCACAATGCACCATACAAGAAAACACACGCTTTGTTTTCCTAACGTAGATGTCAGGACCTAGGAAGCAACAAACTATTTTAAGAACATCTGGGCAATTACATGTATTATTCAATTTAAGCAATTTAAAAACGTTTGTAAGGCGGGTAACTTACTAAGCACTGCTGAAGCTAGGGAAAGAGCAGGGGTTGTGATGCGAGAAAGTGCTGGGCCTAAAGGGAAACAAATTAAAGAGCAAGGCACAAGATAGGTGGCCCCAAAGGGGGAGGCAGATCTCTTTGCAAATGGGAAGAAGACCGAGAGATGGAGGCGGGAGGGAAGGGAAACAGACGAAAGATAACACACTGACTCTGCGCAGTGAGCATGGTCATTACACACTGAAATCTGCATGTATAAAAATTAAAATTAAGGGGGCGGGGAGATGGCTCAGTGGAATAAGCGTTTCCCTGGCAAGCTCAAGGGTCTGAGTTCAATCCCCGGTTCCGCAAAAAAAAAAAAAAAAATTAAAATTAAAATTAAAAACCAAGAAACTGGGGCCAGAGAGACAGCTCAGTGGTCGAAGTGCCTGCGTGGCAAACACAAGGACCCAGGTCTGATTTCTAGTATCAGATGCTATGCCAGCCCTACCCCAGGTGCGCTGAGCTGGCCACTGAGAATGGGTGTGGTGGTGCATACCTGTAATCCCACACTGGGGAAGCTGAGGCAGGAGGATCACTATGAGTCCCGGCTGTGTTGTGAGACCCTGTACCAAATACACTTAAAAAATGAAAACAAAAACACCCAAGGAACCTACAAGTGACAACAGTCCAAGTAGAGTGTTAAGATCAGTGCAGCTGTTGGCTCCAACCGTCCCTCCTGTCCCCTACCACCCTGTCCTCCACCAAGCAAAGTAAAGAAGGCAAGGGAATCCAGCTGGTCTTTTTCCACCTCTTACCCTCGCACCTCCTCGGCTCCCCTGTGTTCCCCAAGTTGACCACATCTCATGGATTTCCTCCCTAACCCAGCTCGCTTCTTCTTTCCCAGCATTTCTGCAAACCCCACCAGCCCTCCACCCTGGGGTCCACCCTGGTGCTCTGTTAAGTCTCCCCAGTTGCTCCCTGTCCAGCTGTTACCTGTGGCCGAGCCAAAGGTCTCAGTGTCCACAGCCACAGCAGCGAGAGTCCCTGAAGAGTCCCCAAGTACAGTCTCCTGGTCCACCTCAGCAAGCAAGTGCTCATGAGCTTTGTACAGAACCCCAGTTCACACCACAATCTGAGAGTCAGGGGTCCATGTCACTGCACTGGGCAGCACTGCTCACTCATGCCACCTATGGCCCAAGCCCCGCCCCACAGGTGACATCCAGCCCTAGCAGCGGGGGTCAGCACCTACACAGCGACCTCCACCTCCACCCTTTATCCCAATGCCTTCTGGGTCCAGGTGGCTTCCTAAGGTCTGAGATATGAGATCGTCTGTCACCTTCTCCAAGGGACAGTATGTTACCTAAAGATATCAATGAGTACAGGCGGATAATTCACAATCATAGTGAATTATGAAGTGACGGCATACCTGGGAAATGTTTAAATTAAAAATCATTATTACAGTAAAAGACACACTGTCATGGATCCTCCCAATCCTCCCTCTTGCTTTAAACACACGCATCTACAGAAACATAGATAGGAAACAAAAGCCTAGTATCCCGAGGGATCAGGAAACAATAAACAGAGCCCCAGGAGAACTGTTGTCTCACTTGGGAATTCCGGCAAGCTGGGATTCAAGGCTGCAGATAGCAGCCTCTCCTGCTGGCACCCTGTGTGTGGTTTCATCCCTTGCTTGGGATGTTCATGGCTAGCTTTGTGTAAACTTAGTGTCAGGTAAATGCCTGAAGTCAATAGAGTAGTTTGTGTCCACCCAGGTAGTCCTGCACATTCCTTAGCCTGCCTTTAGCCCTCATAAATGTGAGATGTGTCCGTGGCTCTGGGCTCCTGCAGAGAGAGACTGACCTCAGTGAGACCTCTGAGGCTCTATTCACTGGGTCTTCTCGTCCTTTCTTTCGGCACCGACTCGTAACATACAACCCTCAGATCTCATTGTTCCTGCCACTTCCTGAAGCAGCTCTGGAGTCCTCTTTCCTAAGTGCATTTATTTCAATTATGAGATGCAATAAAAAATAGGGTGACTGCTGTCACCCAGCACCACGTGGCAGACGGGCAACCTGCAAAAGCTTGATGCTGTGTCCTCACCCACCTGGATCTGGCACCATGTGACTTCTAGTTCTTCCCCAAAAAAGTCAAACAGCCTAAGGAAGGAGAAGGTTTTGAATCCATTCAGGATAGGAGGCAGCTGGGAGAGCTCAGCTAGAGACACTCCGGTCCCTTTCTTTGTAACTGTTTAACTCCTGGAGACACCTTTTCTCGAGGGCCAAATCCCCATTAAAGTTCTGCAGGAAGAAGAAAATTCTCCCTCAATTCAGGGTTTGTGGGGAACAGAAACAGAAGGCCTATGATGCCCTGTAGAGGCCCACAGACCACCTGCCTGGGCCACCACACTGCAAAAGCAGAGATGACATTTGCACAGGAGGAACTTCGCACCACTGGCCAAGGAAGCAGTGTGGCAGGTGCGACACAGGAATGTGTCTAGAGAGTACACCACATGCCTTTAAGATCCTGCCTAACCTCGGTAGTGTCCCAGATTTTCTGATCAAGAAGGTTATGGGGCTAAAGAGGAAATCGATCGATGATGTGGAGTGTGCCTAAGGAGAGTCACATGAGGAGAAGACACTCTCTCAGGCTTTCACAGAGAGCACATTGGCCAAGCAATGGC